CTGCTTGCTCAAGACGTTTTACAGAAATAACGGGAAATGTATAATTATGTAAAATACATATATCTTTACATATAATTAAAATACATATACCTTTCTTCACTGCTGCTGTATAAGAAAAATACAATGTACGATTCTAGTTATTTGGGTTCTGTATGACTAAAAATACAAATTAGTTTGATGATTTGATCCTTCTTAAGAACAGTAAAATTACGGTTTAAAATTGTTAACTTTCTTAATTTTCTTTTTATTATTTTCATCGATTGGAATGATACTTATAGAAATTTCAATAACATAAAAAATGTTCATGAAAGTTATCAATTGACAATATAAAATGTATTTTAAATTACATCCGTTAGAATCTTATTAAGAACTGAAAACAGAGATTTAAATTACATTTTCTAAACTTTTAAATCCGTTCAATGTTTTCAAATCCCTCAACTTATTCAGAGGTAAACTTTAACAGACGAATTAAAGATCTCTTTGTTGCATTGACTGGCAACATTCTGAAACGTGTATTACATCCCACGCAATAGCAACACTTTTCGAGTCGAGTGAGTGGTAAAACGTGATAGTTTAGCGAATTGTAACAGTCGAAAAATTTTAGAACTGCGTTAAGAATTTTCTAAGATCAAAGGCTAATACAATACAATACAATATTGTCGATACCTACTCTATAAGTCATTGCTCCATGAGCTTTTCATAAAAAAATACTGAACAAACGTGGATAAATCGCCGGTTCTTGTCACAAGGAATTTATGTCCTGTAATATGCAATATAAAACTCGAGTCGCTTATCTTTCATTAGCTTTTTGATGTATGTTGCATTGCTTTTCATGGATATTTTTTGTTTTTGACATAATGCTTCTTTTCATTTTTGAGTGTAATGTGACTCCTAATCTTTACTTAAATTCTTAAGTTTTTTGCTTAAAATTCTATGCTGTACTTAAATAAAAATTTACGTTTTATTTAAATACGGGCTTTGGTAAATCATGAGTAGTTGATGTATTTAGTTTTATAGACATAAAAATATTTTATTTTCTAATTGCATAACCTATACGTAAACAAACTATGATAGAAAAAAAAACAAGGTATCTTCGCTTGTATAATAATAAATAAGTATTCGACCAACATAAAATCGGCAAATAAGTTATCCGGATTTTAGAATATTTAAAAGGGTTTAAAACTCACTAAATCCCAATATTTGGAGTTCTCGTTATTGAAATTCTTTCAAACATTTAGTATTAACTTGATTAAAAATTTTTCGAAACGTTTTAAGCACTTTGAAGAAATATTATTTCTGTAGTCAATGAAGAGAAATGGGGAAACATACGCCGGAGTAGTTTTACAAGTAATAGAATATAGTAAATTTTTCACATTTTTTTCATTAATTTACTTTGAAATAAAATATAAGTATATCCAAACACGTCGAACTTAAATTCATTCAGAAAGTCATCAAATAAAAATAAGATAAAGTTGAAATGATACGAATCGATTACCGTAACTACACTTTTTTTTTTTTTTTAAGAGTAGTTGTAACACACGCAAATGAATGAAACGACAGAATGTCACGGTAAGGAGAACATCACCCGAAGCTAAATAGTGAAAGTTACTGTGCAGTCAACCAAACACTCATGATACGGCATAGAAAGTTCACTTTCACTATTTAAGGAACTTAAAAAAATTACGTTTATCGGTAATTCTTCACGAGGAACTTTTTTTAATTCATGCTTTTTTTTATATATATTATCCAATAAGCTTTAACGATATTAAATATTTTCATGATTCAGAATGTAATTTTTAATTTCACTCGTTCACACATAAATTTACATGAATGATCCACAATTATGAATGCATCTGTAGTACACGAATCTAAAACACTACAAAATTTCTTTTTAAATGCATTTCATCAGTAAAAGTTCGAATTACTGTATTAATAATTAATGTAATATACTTTAAGCTTATAGGAAATTTGAAAAGAACTTAACTGAAAAGGAATTTTTATGATAGACTGAATCTTTCATGGTATCAACTATAATGTAAACAAAATTAAGCTACTTTATTTCACCAAAAAATTAAATTAAATAAGAGAGAAATTTTCCTAGGAAGAAAACATTTCTTCTACCAAAATTTTATAGTGGTATCCTTAATCTACGAATACTTTATTGTTACGTAACCATATATCATATTATGAGTAATTTATTTATTATTTTTATGCGAATGACTTTTATTTAATAACAATTGTTACTATAATTGATTTATTAACCACACGTGTTAATAATTATATTTTAGAATTTACAGAATTCAGTGTAATCAAATAATAAAGAGGAAGTTTCAACTTTAGAAAAACTGAATCCAACCTCACATGGCTTCCACGAGCGTCCGCTGGGTTGTTAAAACAGGGCACTTGTGCTCCATTCGCAGTTGAGTAAAAAGTATGTTTTTGTAATAATGTATTCCAAACTTCCCAAATTAAATAGCTAATTAAAAATTTATTGATGTAATTATTTTTATCCTATCCTTGAACATCCACTTGAAAAACTGTCCACGGGTATGCAACCCGCAAATGCTTGCAAATCTTTTTGCGTGCAATTAAGGACATTGTGCACATAAAGAATTAAAATGGGTTAATGCTGCTAAGAAGCACTTTTCCCACGCAAAGCTGAGGAATATATTTGGGATTATTTAAATATGATCCTGTCCATATAGCATTTGCAAATGTAAGAAAATTTCATAGGGTTCTCAAAGATATTCCCATATTCATATTTTAAGTCCTCTCTGATGACGTTTTCTCTGATGTTTTGAATCTAAAGTGTGCGTCCATAGGTAAGAAATAACCTTACGTTTTCAATATATATGAGATCTGTAGTCTGGATTGACAGGTTCGGGCTGTGACCTAAATTAGAATAGAGAGTCACTGCTGCTACATTAATTTTCTAAATATTTTATGTGATGGTATCCTGAAAGAACAATTTTACATCTAGCAGCACTCTCAGATATTTTACTTCATGAGGAAAAAAATGAACTTTTTGATGTCATTTCTTCTATTTGTATTTATTCTTGTTTTCACCGCCATTAAAATTTGTTTTTATTCTGTTTCTGCCACTTTTTCAATTCTTGTTCATATGCCCCGCTATTAGAAATTTTTAAAAAATCTCTATGTCAATATTTGTTAAATGAAAGCTCATACTGGATCTCATGTCAACGACTTGTTCGATCAGTTGACTAGAAAGGCCACCGAAAATTATAATGCAGAATATATTATTCCCTGGCTTAGATTATATCCAAAAACGTATCTCTTAATAATCTCACTAAAGAAATGAGAAGAAGAGTGGCATATTTGTGTCCAGGGCAGACGCAACATTAGGCATCTACGAATAGTTGATCTAAATCACAATATTTCAACTTCGCAGTTTTCTTGACGCATAACGGGACATGGTAAATTCATAACGTTTTACTCTAAACATGGATTTACCCACTGATCATTGTGCTTGTGGGGACAAAGGATCTCATGATCATTATATAATCGAATGACCCGAAACAATACCATATTGATCCTCCTGCAGCTAATGCCATTTCTTTTAAAAGATTCTTATTAAGTAAAGACAGCTTGTTGCTAAAATTTGCAAACTTATGAATATACTTTCTGCGTTGAGCAAAGATATTTAACAACAAGCTAGAAAATACGAGTATAATAGAAGCGTATTTAACTCTTCTATTAAAATTTTATTATTTTATATATAAGCCCGCACAAAGTAACTTTAATTTATGAGCATGAGGTATAAAGGCTAATATTAAGACACTATGACTTTTTTGTATGATGTTCGGTTTAATAAAAATTAGATAGAACTTTATGAACTCCATGAACTGTAGGTTTTATGAAAATTTTTTTAATACAACTGTATTTTATTTTAATTTTAGTTCGTTATTTCTTCACGTAGATTTCTTTAAAAATTTATACATTTAAATTACAAAATAAAATTTGAAAATGTAAAAAATGCTATCATTGTCATTTAAAAAAATTAATCTAATTAATTATGAATATGGGACAATATCTGTTAACCGTTTGTAAAACCCAGGTGGTCCCATTCATTCTCAGTTGAATCTATATTAAACCTATGAGAGTTTTAATTCGGCTCTTTTAACTGTGCGTTTTAGAAAATTTTTTACTTATGTCAAAATTTTACTTTTCTTATAATTAATAGTGCTATTATTAGTACTAATTATAAGGGAGTTATTGTTAGTACTTTTAGAGATATTTAAAATATAATGTCAGTTTAACTTGAAAAATAACAAAATTCAACCCTAGATTGCCATTTTTATTTCAGTTGCAAAAATTCAATGAATTTCGAAGAATAAATTGATATTCTCAATTTGTCAGAGGATGATATAACATGAGTGTGTCTCTCGAAATGCTACATCTCAGGGGTCGAATGGCAAAATCGCTAGACACTGAGCTCCGACCTGGCTTCGATTCCAGGCTAACGGGCTAGCTGCACGGCCATTTTCGTGGTTTTCACCTTGTTTAACGTGTATACGAGCCAGTTTTCCTTAGACGATCCTTCAAGAAGGCATCTCTTCCCTTAGACAGATAGGTCTAGTGTGCTTTGCCATAATAAAATAAACCAAACTTTCGAAATGCATTGACATTTATAGTTGAGATAATAGCCAATGCAAGTTGATATTAATTTATTTTTAACAGTATAGACATAATATGGAAAACAAATTTAGTTATAGCCAAAAATGTGTGAGATGGAATTGAAAACAGCCTCACTTGAAACCATTACTAAATTCACTCAAAACATAAACTGAAAGTAAATTAACTAGAGTGTTAATTATGTTACTGAGGGGCAAGAGATTGTCCTAATTGCAAGATATATATACTTCATATAAATACAACAAAAATAAGTTTGAACTGTAAGTACGACCTTTTCTCGTCTGTGGTGATAACACTCGAATACTGAAAATAGGAAAGATGTACAATAGAAGAACAAAATGCCGTAATTTTATGGCTTATACAAATTTTATTTACTTATAATCGTAACATATGTTTCCTTAAAATTATCTACATTTGCATGACTTAAATTCGTAACATATGTTTCCTTAAAATTATCTACATTTGCATGACTTACATTCGTAACATATGTTTCCTTAAAATTATCTACATTTGCATGACTTACATTCGTAACATATGTTTCCTTTAAATTATCTACATTTGCATGAGTTCTCATGGTACTAGTTAAATCTCAAAATTTCAGCAAAGAAAATGAATTAGTGAATGCAGTTATTTAAATTCGTGTTCTGTAAAATTGCTTTGATTTAAAAACATTAAAAACAAAACTATTTCATTAGTTTTAGAACTTCGAAAATTAGTTCAAATGGCTACTACGAACACATGACAAAGAATAATAAACTATACAGCACAGAATATTTTAATGTGACACACTATACTGAAAATATGTAGCCGAAGTGAATACCATGATTAAGGCTGTCGTCAGAGAACCGACAATAGTAGAAGCTGTGTTCAGACAGTAGCCATAAGCTGCTGAGCAAAATTGTTTTCTCTTACAACACCATTGACCATTTCCGCAGCACCTCATTCCACTTCCACAGCACAATGAAGGATATGCACAACACTGCGCACCTCGAAGCGGACAGCAGTACATACCACAGCAAGTTCCCCTGGGACAATAGCAGCTCTGATAATTTGAAGAACTATTCTGTACAAACATAGAGGGTGCTCCCATGACATGCTGTTGGCCAGCTTCATTAATTTCCTTCATCAGATTATGCCAAATATTGCAACATCCATACCTACCAAAACTCTGTGGACAGCATTCTTTTCCTAAAAAGAACAGTAAATACATCATCAAGTGCATAGAAATATAAATAAATAAAGACTCTTTTCCTCCAAAAGATTTATAAAACTGCTTTAAAATGAATTCTGCAGAGAATTTTTCCTGGTGTCTGTACGTACGTACGTACGTAACGGATGTATCTCGCATAACTCAAAAACCAGTAGCCTCAGAACGTTGAAATTTTGTATATAGCACTGCTATAACATGTAGATATACACCTCGTATTTTGGTTGCAATCGGCCTCACCAAAAGTATATAAATATATGTATATATATATCGACTCTGTTAACCGGTTTCTCTGTTACTTTGTGTCTTATAACTCTGTTTCCCGTTAAACAGCATCTTTTTTTATTACGCTAATTCTTTATTTGTTGAAAAATATTTCTTGCGCTTTATTTGCAAGTCATCTTATTGACGTACAAATGAATATATTTACAGTAAGAAAATTATTAAAGACGAGTGTTGCTCCGATTCTATAACACGTTCGTCTTTGTGCAAATAGGAATTGGTATCAATCTGAACTTTCTTTGTAGTCATTCGGGTTACATCTTTATTCTTCTTATCAAAAAAAGTTTTGTGAAAAATATTTAGTATCTTCATTTCTACAAAACAATTTCATTCATCTTAACGAACATGAAGATTAATACAAAACAACTACATATGAGAAGCACAGGAAACATTTATACGTTAGAAAAATCTGGTTTAAGAAGTTAGAATTCAAATATTTTTAAAACTTTTTTAAGCACCAAGAAATGCTGAGTCATTCTCCAACATTTTCGTGCAAATTAAAGCAAAGTTAGAAAAGCATGTAATTTAATGAAACTTTTTAAACTTCTCTTTATTTCACCAATAACTGAGATAACATCTGTTTAATGATCGTTATAGATTAAAGCAAGGTTAAAAAAGCATGCAATTTATTGAAAAAACTTTTTTAATTTCTCTTTTTTTTCACTAATAAATGAGATAACGTCTGTTAATGATCGTCAGAGGTATTTTTAAATTTATTTTATTCGAGAAATATCTGAGATGGCAGCATCTTGATTAATGCCACTATAACACAGCAAACAGTATTAATACAATTTGTTTGCAGCAAATAAAAAAGCTCAAAATATTTCGAGAGACAAACGATAGAATTCCCATTTTTTTAAATTAAATTAATCTGCTCATGCGTAAAATTTTAGTAGTCTTTAATACAGTAGGGACATATGATCATAGTTAATGTTATCATTCGAATATTATTATCGAATTGCCGAAGTGTCACCTGTTCGTATGCAAAAACATGAAAACTACATAGCTTATTGTGATTAAATTTTTTAAACAGAAATAAAATGTCCAAATAAATGACAAAGTCGCCAAATAAAGTCAAAATAGAAATTGAAAAGTCATCAAGTAAGCTTTGAAGTCGCTAAACAGCTCTGGTTTTGATATAAGTCAACCATATACAAAGGAAACCGTTTTTCAAGTTTTACAAAAGAACGACTAGACTGAGCAAGAAGATTAGAATAGAACCTCTTTGGTTAGCTCTTGGAATGAAATAGACTTCTTTGGGACTAATTCAGGTTAACTAGAAGGTAACTAAGCATTAAAATCTTTGCTTTGTTCTGAGCTTTAAATTTTGATGAATGTTCTTTTCTAGGAAGTGCTGCTTTTTATTCCGTTAAGGTACACATAATTATTTTTTATCATTTGCAACCGCTTTTTGTTTGAACATTAAAATGTTATGGAATCTAGTAAAAGTAGTGATAAAATTTACGTTTTCGATTGCTATGAAAAACTTCCAAAAATGAGTCAGTGGAATGCAGCTCTTCGACAAAGGTCTCTCAACATCTCTCATGTAAGATTTTGAAGAAAAATCATGTTATTTGCGAATCAAAGCAAAGTCGAAATGAAAGCATGAGTCAGACAAATATAAAAAAAATGGCAACGTTTGGGAAAACACTGAAAGCTTGGTTTAGAAATGTTCATGAAAATGAAATGGCAATCAATGGACGCGACAAAAAATTGAAAAATTAGCCGTTAAATAAGACGTTGTTAACGTTAAACTACTTTGTTTTAAAGCCAAACAAGACAAATAATTTTACTTCAAAGATTTTACTGGTGTTAAATTCTGTTAAAAAGAAGCGATCGATGTCAAAATTGCACATACCATCAGCATTTAAGTACAGTTTCACTGGTGTTTAAAGGAGCATTCCGGATTCAAGTGTGAATAATGCTACCAATGAATTTCAGCAACCAAAGCAATTGAAGTGAAATTGTGAAATAATTTTATGATTATCTACAGATTAACCTTCTGATTATTTTAACAATGATAAAAAATAATTTCTTCTAATTTATTTGAATTGGTAAAATTTTTTCAGAAATTTTATTAAGAATCTTAATTTATTCATAGAGGTACTCGTATTTCACCATTAACGGTCGAAATCAAATATAAGTGGATCATATCTGTCAGCTACAAATCGAGTCCGTTTGTCAAATCTGAAATAAAATCAGTTGTAACGCAATATTTGTAAAGAAAAATGAAAATGTCAGATAGATAAGAATGAAGTGCATGTGAAATAAGAAACTTTTCCTGTCTAGTGTGCTTAAAAAGCATTGCGCGATAAGAAACTCTGCCAGGCTGATACGAGGGGGGGAGGATTATCAGAAAAACTATTTTTGAATTTCTGTTGTATTTACCCAAAGTGTATAAAAAGTACTTTCTTTGAAACTGATTCAGTTCAAACTTACAATATACAATACTTTAGACATTGCTAGGATTCTTCGCCCATTCTGAAGATGATGCTACAGTTACAAAAGATTATATTTTGAATTACATAGAGTACTAACCTTCGGTACACGTGCTGCCATCTGGACATGCATTTTCGCCGGAGATAGCGAATGGTAGAAGAACAAACGAAAGTAATAACCACGTCTGTCAATATAAAATATATAATAAATATTAACATTTTTCACAGGCAGGACAATTATTTTTATCAACTCATGAAATATACATCTGAAGATAATTTTAAAATTACTTCTAATGGAAAGTTATTTAATAAGCGCTTTAGCGATGCATTATATTCAAAATTTCATTAAGTTCAAAGTTAACTTCAAAGAAATTTCATTTCTAATTATGCACATATCTACCTGATCTTATATCCAATGCCATGGCGATAAAATAGAAAAAATTAATAAGTCTTAAGAATTTGGTGGCACGCGATCCATGTAGGTGCAGGAAAGCATTAGTACACAAAATCTCTACTAAGTACTGACAAAATAAGCGTTTGGAAACTACTAGCTCCGATATCCAACTGCATATCGAAAAAGTATTTGAAGGCTCATTTTAGGCACAGATGCAGATTACCACAACATACTTTGCCTTTTTCTAAAATTCTTTTTGCTTTGATTGCTTTAGCCGCTAGATACACGCAAGAGAGCTGGCGGCTCACTGCTTGAAGGAACTATTGGTTACTTTTAGTTCTCAGTGATGTCAATTTCTGTATCTTCTGGCGAAATCAAAATTTTTCTATTCAGTATTCTGGAAAAACGCATCATGTAGGAAGAATATTATTTTTGTATTCTAATAAAACAGAAACAGATTCTTTTGCTTTCAGTACAGAAAACACTTTTTATTGGGTACTGAATTTTCAAAATGGCATGTATTTTTAGATATACAGTCAGAAAGCAGTTAAGCAAATACAGTGACGGATAACAAAAATATAGAAATCTTGAATAAACGAATCTTAGAATCTTATCTTAGAATAAACGAATCCTAGAAACTAGAATATGTTAATTCAATGCAAGTTATCAGATCAGCAAAATTCAGCTGAAAGTTGTTTAATTACATTTGTTTATTGTTTACTCTTAAAAATTTTTCTTTAACAAATAAAATATTATGTTATTTATAATCAAAAGCTCAGCTGAAGTGAACTGCAAAATAATATTTTTTAAATGTGCATTGAACGTGTTAGGGAAGGATAAAAAGAAAGGAGCAGAGAAATTAGAGAAAATTATAACTTTCAGACTAAATCAAATACAATATAAGTTAAAAATAAAATTATTTATGTTAACTTTAACGATATGTGGATATTTAAATTTATAAAAAATGTCATGTTTCTCTCAATGTCATGAAATATTTTATGATCATATTTTCCAAATGAAAATTATCATGTCTGGGAAAAACATTGGTTTTGATTAGAAAGTGAAGAGACTACAATGCAAATTTATGTGTAAAGTGTAATGAACTGTATTATAATTTATTATAGTATATAAAAGTAATACACAACTCATACCGTAAGGAAATATTGAGTAATCAGCTCTTATTAATTACTTCTAACATGTCTTCAGCTCTGGAGAAAGTGCCGCAACATATTTATTTCTTGGAAGCGGTGAAAAGGTGCATTTATAGTCTCATCATTCTCATCTTCGGAATGAAAACGACGTCAATGTAAGTTTTTTTTAGATTAAAAAATAGCCAAAAGTCACGCATAGATAGATCGAGCGAATAGAATGGATATTCAGTCACTTTGATATGCTTTTATTCAAGATAATCAACTCTCTATCTTGCTGAATGAGAAAGATGTATTGTCATTAGCGGTGTACCACATACTAGCTGTGACTGTCTTCTTTTCCTTCTAGGTTGATGTCTTTGACCAGACGTTCCACTTTTCAGTGCTCATAAGTTAAATTATGGAGAACCCATTGGCAAACTAGTTTTTTTCATATGCAGTTTTTCAGGAATAATTTTATATACGGCGGCGGATACAATGATAAGTTCCTTCTGTATCATTTGGCTTATGCAGCGATTATCATCAATTAATATTTTCCGTATGAGAGATACATTGTCCGGGATTACAGCTGACAACGGCCTTCCTGTGTCTTCTTCATCTTGAAGAGAGTTGCGACTTCATCCTGAAATTCTGTAAACCATCTGAATATAGTAGTACAAGATGGAATTTCATTTCTAAATGCTAACTGTAAACGTTGAATGCATTGTTCTTGATTTAATACAACTTAAATATCATAGGAAATCATAATGCAATAGTGTTCTCGCATCAACTCCATTTTTCCTTCTGTCTAAAATTTATTCTACGCTAAACTACTTGCAGTTGGCCAATAAAAAGTCGTGTGCTATGCTAAAATGATTCGTATTTTCAAATCTAAGCTTTAACTTTTCTTTTTTCCACTTATTGTCCACGCATGTCTCAAACATTTCAGAGCGATCTACATATTAAGTTGTTAAATAAGTAAAACAGCATTAGAAAGTAATAAAACTTCTTTTGAAATACGGTTATAGCTTTTTAGCCTTTTTTTTAGAATAATAAACAGATATTATGATATACACTGCATGTTAGCTAATAGTAAATATTTATTTAAGTGCTCATAAAAGAATTATTTCTGGAGAACACAATAAAAGAACTTACCTCCATTCTAAGTAAAATGGTCTCCCATTATAAATACTGAGAAAAGTTTATTTTAATCGTTTGAGGTTCTCTAGGAAAACCAGTGCTATCCGCAGCATTTTGTTATCAAAATCTGGCACAGTATACGCTCAAAACATTTCAGTTATTGGTGGTTAAAAATATGTTTTCAGTAACATACAGTAACAATTAGAGTTACAGTACAGTCATTTTCATAGCATCGCCCGAAAAGTAATCCTATTCTTTAAATAATGCAGTAGTATTTACCTTACGTCCACAGCTTCTCCCATCATATCATGCAATTCGCTCCTTTCCCCCCTCTTCTTTTTGGCCTCCTAAGTTGCCTTGATAGTGTACAAAAAGAGCTCAGTTTTGAAATAGTTAGATATTTTAAGGAATGCTTTCGTTAAGATTTTTGAAAGGCACAACAAATTTTATAGCAGTAAGGTTTTACAGTAATAATGAGCATAAAAAATGATATCTAACAAGTAAAACTAAATTCATGCATCATGCACCATTAACACATTCAAATATTCAACTTTTATTATAACATTTGCAGAAATAGCATAATGCAAACTTGCACGAAAAGAAAAATTATTGTATTGATATGCCGCCGAAAATTTATTTTTTTCCTAAAACGCTTGCTACGAATACAAGTTTTTTTTAATAAAATATTTTCAATGCTTAAATAACGAAACCGTCAACTTTGCAGCGATAATGGATTAAAAATTTTCTTTTGCTACTTATAATTTGGGCATAATATTGAATTTGTAAAATATAAAAATTAAAAAAAAATGGTATGCTGACTGGATAGTTTTTTTAATTGTTATTAACAGAATAATTTTGACTGCTTCGGAAAGGAAAGTAGTTAGTGCATTACTCGAATTACCTTTACTTTCCTTATGAGCTTTCTACTTCACAATATATAAATAATTTTTTACATACACAGTTCATAAATATATTTTTCAGTCAGTTTAAAGAAATCATTATCTTTATTAATTAATCAATCAGTTTAAGTCCAATATATTAAACTTACATTCATTAATTTGTGCTAAACAGTTCAAGCTCCAGAATAATACAAAAAAAAAAAACCCTCAAAATTTTAGCAGCGGTTTATTCTTCTTGCTTTTAATCGTTGAAATTAGCTACAAACACATGAAAATTTTACCTCTGCATGAAAAGCAGATGAAATTCCAATCATGATTGAAATGAATTTCTATCACGCTCACGCATATTCAAGTGTAATATAATAGAAGTACTTCTTCCACTTTTCCCGATGGGAATGAGAAATATTTATGTCTGCCAATACTACAGCCAATCATTATTCGCTGAAGATATGCATTTGTGAAGGTTAAAAAAACTGATGTGATAACAAATGGATATATTTCCCTCTACCTGTATTTCCTTATCTTCGTTGTCAAAACAGTAGAGATTAAAATCCTAATTTGTCATTCTTTTGAAATAAGGAAGGGAGCGGTTCTCATATGCTCTTAAATTATATATATATAAGATAACAAAATATGTAAATCAGCCTTATAATTTATTCTCTTAATTCCTCATTTTTAATTTGGGTATTCCCTGTTTATTCTAAAAAAAATTAATAACATTTCTGGACTGCTTCATTTATAGATAAGTCTATGCCAGAGCTTGCGAAACGCTGATGGCGTAGTTAAATGGGAACCTAAACTCTGAGGACTGAAACTTTTCTAACCTAAACCAAAGCCTTCGTCTTTCGTGAGCTGCCGTAATGGATTAATGCGCACTTCGCTTCTACCTTCTGTGCTGATTGGACGGTGTTTCGCTATGCTTTTCTTCCTATCACAATTGTATCAAAAATGTATTTTCTGGAAATAGACATGATTAGAGTGCCAAATGAATTGTGGCCACAAGTGTGAATTTAAATAAAAGCGGAATTTAATCTACCTCGAATGCCAAGTTTCTCATTCTTTATGGATTAGCATTCTGCGCAATCAGAAGTATTCCTCCTCAGTATGGATTTACGTTCTACGTCAAACAGCATTCGCTACGTCTTTTTCTCGTTTTTATTTCATATATATAAATTGTTAAGCATGCAAGAACTCTTCATGTAAGCAAAATAAAACTTAAAGTACCTTCTCAAAAAAAAAAAAAAAACTTATGAAATTTTAACAACAGACTCTCGGCGCAGTTTTCTGGAAAAAATATGAAATCGACCATATTTTACCTTAGTCTTGGAAATTTATTTAAAAAAAATGACTCTATTTTAAGGACTGAAAATCTGGCACTTTACCTACTACTACATAACATTCAAATGGGAAAATTCTTAATAAGAAGGCGAAGAACTAATCTTAAGTACCTCAGCAAAATATTTCATATTTCTAAATTTTAATTTTAGTTAATGGGAAAATATTCATTTTATAGGAAGCCGACAGATAATTTCAGCATACTCAGTTCAATAAAGGAATACTGTAAATGGATATGAGGGATTGTAATTGAACATTTACCCATTTGTAATTGAACGAAGATTATTGCAAATTAAGAATGCTGCATGTCTAATGGTAGTAAATATAAAATAAAATTGAAAATATTAATTAGAGATTTGTCTCGATTTTATTGCCAAAATTTGTTGATAAAAATCATCAAAATTTGAGTTTGAAAACAGCGTATTATTGTCTTCTCAACACTCAAAAATATACGAGATTACGTACGTCACAGAAATGGAAAGATTTAAAGAAAAGTCTGCTGAAGACATTATTTCAATTAAAAAAAAAAGAAAGAAAAACGTATTTTAAAACAAAAATCAGACAACTTTTGTGAAAATTAAAAAAAAAAAAAATTCCGTTGAAATTTTCTTATAAATGTCCCTTACCCATTGCCTGAAGCCACTGCCACTGCCTTCAGTCAGTATCATTGCCTTCAGAAAGTGGAGAGCTAAAAAAGATTCTTGTGGTAACCAAATCAGAGCTGTTCTACTTAGAAAATAGTATGTTGCTCAGAAATATTTGTGCCTTTATACAGCTCACTAACTCCAGTACGGTTTTGACAGTTTTCTAGTGCGATTAGAGCAAAAAGGATCAAAAGGCTTGAAATCATAGTGCCATTGAAAATCCAAATGAAATGCTATCTATTCCTGTATGTTAGAGTACCTGCTATTTAAAATACTTAAGTAACTATGAAGCATATCTCAGCCAATCTTTCCTTTGCCTGATGAAATTGACGGGGAGGGTAAAAGATCCCATTTTAAATATTATCTCAAACTTAACGATGGGCTGAAGTTTTCCAGTGCACGCAAGCCCAAAACGCACTAATAACGCCTTGACATGCTCAAAATACATTTTTCGCACTTGTGTACAAATATTTGAGAATGCTAGTAATCCCTTCCGCATTCTATGCTTCGTTCGCTGAATGTATAAAAGTAGTAAGTTTCTCTAATCGCGATGATCGTATTTTGTAGCTGTCAAATGATGCGTTAAAAAAACTTAGTTTCTCTTATCTATATGTAGAGAAGAAAGTCTGTGTGTTTATTCGCTAATAACTCAATCATTACTATAGCTATCGTCACCAAACCTTTCTACAATTCTTTTCTGGGTCCTGGAAAAGGTCGACATGCACTTTTTTTCAAAAAAAAGAAAAGAAAAAGCTAAAATCAGAGAAATTAATTAAAAAAACGGTAATTAAAAACTTGGATAAACGGTAATTTTCGACATCATTTTTCCAAGTGGCAACAGTCTCGCAAGCTGGAGAAGAAAATCTTTCTTTCGAGAAGTGTTGCCACTGCTCACTTTCAAATTATAGAGTTTATTAATAAAAAATTTCGAAGTTTTACAATGAAATAAAAATAGCATTGCCAAACCTAAAATTCATTATTCCCGAATCCAAAAATCTGTGGGAAGCCATTTCGACTGTTTCCACCTTCGTGCGACTTTAAAAAGAAAAAAAAAAAAAAAAAAAAAAAAACAAAAAAAAAAAAAAAAAAAAAAAAAAAAAAAAAAAAAAATCAGCCGAAATATTAATTAAAAACTCGGAAAACACTAAGTTTCGCACTCATTTTTCCGAGTGGCAACAGTTTCGCGTGTTGGAGATAAAAATGCTTTATTTCGAAAAATGTTGCAACTGTTCGCTTTCAAATCATACAGTTTGTTAATCAAAAATTTGTAAGTTTTACAAAATCTATACATATAAAGTACAATGTCTGTGTGCTTGTTCACGTTACTGATTTATGATCAATTACGATCAATATTTTGCCACATTTAATCGTCTAAAATTGAATATAGGGGAAATATTGGACGGAACTTGAGCTTTTATAACAATTTGATTAGAAAGACGAAAATTATTAAAAACTGAGTGTCATTATTAATGATATAATGAGAGAGAATTAGTTTATTTTCGTATCAAAATTTTGTATATGGGTCCCATATCGCATGAGACTGAAAAATGTATGACTATGAATCGTACTTTTTGCATCGTTATTCGAGAAGGATTACAGCGGTATCGTTCTCTCTGTTGTTAGATACATTACTCTCAATCTAACTTAACTGGTATCGGGTACTTCTAGAGAATAAAATTAATAAGATTTCTTAAAAGATTAAAATTCATTTCTTTCAGGTAGTAAAACCGAATATTGGGAAATGTGAAGGTAAACGACGAAGGCACGAATTTGTAATTTAGGTGATAAAAATTAAACGAATGTTATACATTAAAATGCTGATTTTTCCATCGAGATGGTATTCTTCGTTTCATAAGTCTGACGAAACATTCATAAATTTTTCAAAGTTTGCCATTATTATCCCAAAGGAGCAATTTGCCATTAGGGCTGTTAATTTCGTTTTGGCATTTTGCGTTGATTCACTATAAACGGCAAATCACTTTTTAAACTGTCGCCACCAAATATTAGAGCGCTGTTTTAGATCATTCAATATTTTATATATAAATATATGTGTGTGATCATTCAATATATCAATATATATATATGTGTGTGATCATTCAATATATATATATATGTGTGTGTGATCATTCAATACTTATATATATATATATATATATGTGATCATTAGATCATTCAATATTATATATATAGATATATATATATATTAATATAAAAAATATGGGAATCAAAATTATAATTTAAACTAACAGTAAACTCTTTAATTCTCCCTCTCGGTTTTAAAAATTGTAATAACTTCTTTGAATTGCATCATTCCTATATCATATCATTTTGCATCTAGCTAGAGCCATCAAATTTTGAATAACGTACGCCTCCAGCCGAATATGGGCATCTGGAAGCCCAAATTTGGAATTTGTTTTATTATCTATTTCATATTTTGTAAAGCATTTATGAGTTTTCGATTAAGAAACTCGATGATTTCAAAGCGAGCAATGGCAACACTGTACGGGGTGGGGGAAGAACCTTTTTATCTCCATTACGCGAGACTGTGTATCGGAAATTCTAAAGATATACTCTTTTAAATATTTTATGATATTGCTATTGAATTGAATTTTATGGTTTAAGTGCGAAGAACATGATTTTTAATAAAGGTAAGACAGAAAACGTTAAAAAAATGCTCCTTTGAGCGTAATATAAAATCTGAAAGTTTTCAGGTTTTTTTTTTTTTTTTTTTTTTTTTTTTTTTTTTTTTTTTCAAGAATTATGAATGTAGTTTTTCATGTTTCCATGACTTTTCATAGTTTTCAGAGAGCTCTAAAAAACCCAAATAATCTGTTTGAAAATTTCCTTTGTATGAAAAATTTTCTTTGCCGTTTTAATAAAGAAATATCTAAATGAAAATACAGGGGTTTATTAAACATGCCCAAAATACTTCTGTATCGGTGGAAAACTGTTAAGTTTATGTTTTTCAATTTGAAATTTATACTGAAACATTTTTAATATATGGTATGAAATATTTCATTTATACCGAAAAATTAATCATTAAGAAATATAGTATTTTATCTTTCTGTATAAAAACATACAATACATTAAGCCTACTCATTTTGTACTTTTTCTAACTATTTTATCAATGCTTAACTTAGTAGAAACCTTGTAGAACTATGTAGCGACTTATAGCTGAGTCCAAGTGTATAAATAAAAAGTCCACAGAAGAGTTAAATTAACCTTTTATTATCTCAAACTAAAAGCACAGATGGCCCCTTTCTCGGGCTTACAGAAAAGCTTTCATTTGGGCTTTAACTCAAGATAAGAAAATAAGAAACTAATCTAATGCTAAATAAACTGAACTTAGCCTAAGCTGTACACAATTATCTAAAGCAGTTGGCCCTTAATTAAATTAACCGGGAAATATCAGCAGGCCAGCAGTTGCAATGTCTGAAGGTAGTACGGTTAAGC